AATCTGTTCTGAGCAAATGCCTTTTGTTTTTTTAGCAATCACTATTTTAAAAAAGAATTCAATAAAAATTATTGAATAAAATTATTTTTAACAAATAAAGTTAGTATTTAAATATATATACCATTTATACAGAATAATTTATTTATTATTAATATGTGAAAGGACTCATTATCTTTATTCTTTACAAAAAAATGTTTGTTAAACATAAGTACTTGGAGTATTAAATTATTAAATGTTATAACGCGTACTCGTAAAATTGCAAAGCAATAATAAATTACAAAAATATAGAATAAATTTAAAGCTAGCAAGATGACAACAGATTTATTTTTTGTATTCTTTCTAAAATATATACATGTAAACGTTTCGGACTTCATTTAGTTCTCCTCAACAACGCAAAGAATTAATTACATTTTAAACCTAACACATATTTAGAACGGATATAATTATTTAAGGATCTCACAGATCTATAAACATTTTCCTAGCTCGTTTAAATTCGTTGACCTCTATATTTTTGTTATTGCTTTGCAACTTTACGAGTCTCTATATTTTTGTAATAAGTATTAGGTTCTAATTTCTTAAATTGCAAATATTAAGGTATATAATATTAATTATATACCTTAATATTTGCAATTTAAGAAATTAGATTAAAGAATAATTATAATTATGTAATTTTTAATATGTATGAGGAAAAACTTGAACAAATATAATATGAGAGTTTACAAAATATAAATGAAAAAATCAAAACTGTTAATATATAGATTTATTTAACGAGACAAGAATTATCCCTTTAAACATTTGTCACAATGCATTCGTTTATTTTGTCAGAATGCTCTTGTGATGGCGCGTTGAGACATTGTGAAAAGAGTAATCAATGATAATTCCATTATGTAAGACAAATCAGTATTCCAATGATGTATGTGACAGATGTTCAATTCAAAAACTAGTCACGAACCAAAAGCAAGCGGAAATTTTCAATTGTTACTTCATGTTCATCGTAAAATTCGTTTATCATCAAACAAGGTGACAGAAGAATGAAACAAATTTTCAATTTTTAAAAAACAAAGCTTGCTGTTGACTGTAGACATGAGACAGTTTCGATTCTATAGATATTTGATAAGTAATGATAAAATTCTCGTATTAGGATAGAGCGGACTAAACTGAGTCGAAAAGTCTTCTACCATTTTACAATTTTCGCAATAGTTAATAAGATATTAAAGTAATTATTTACAATAGGGGTCTCCTCCCTGATCTTGACATATGTTGTCAAGGTCATGAATGATCTCCAAGTTTTAGTTATCGCTCGTTATTCGTTATAAAATTATTAACAGTCAGAATTAATAATATTATTTCTGTTTTATATGAAAAAATTAGGTAAAGAGAGAGGTACGGATCGATTAAGGAACGACTTTCTATGTGAAGCGAATTTCACCTCACCTCCCTTCTTGCCAAGAGGCATTCAACTTTCTACGCGAACAAGATCTACCTGAATGAAAACGTACGCTTCTTGGCAAGGTGAGGTGGAACTCGTTTCGCATGAAAAGTCATAAAATATATTTTAAAGAAAATTTTTGTTATATAGAGACACCATTTTTCAAATTTGTTTGGTAATAATTTTTTAACGAATAACGACGGCTAAAACTTGTTGGAGATCATTCAGGGTCATGATCTCGACAACATAAACCAAGTTCAAAGTCATTGGTGTAAATGATGTAAATAATTATTGATATTATTAAAAATCACTGAATATTTTCAATAATTTTTACTATCAGAACTTTATAGAAAAAAAAAGTAAAATGTTTAACAAAAAATGTATTTTCTTTTCATAGAATTCTAAGAATTTTTTCAGAATTTTTTTTAGTACCGCATTTTCTCATGTTGGTAAAAGTAATTGCCAATAAGAAAATTGCAATACTAAAATAAAAAATTCTGAAAAAATTCTTAGAGCTTTATGAGAAGAAAATAAACAATTTTTGTCTCTTGCTATTTTTCTGTAAAGTTGATAGTACTAGAGCAAAAAACTATTGAAAACCAACATTCAGTGATTTTTAGTAATTGATATCTTGTTAATTATTGCGAAAATTGCAAAATGATATAAGACTTTTCGATTCAGTTTAATCCGCTCTATCTCTATGCAAGAGTTTTTTTCGTTATTTATTAAACATCCCGTATACACTTATATAATTTAGATAAATTAAAAAATCGATATGAAGAAACCGTGGAAACTGTAACGGCGCAGTCACATATTTATTATTTCAATATCGAAAAATCTAAAATTATACATATAATAAAAAATTATAAAAGATTTTAATATATAAAATTTAATA